AGTGGAAGTGCCAGGTCCCGGGCTGAGGCAGCCCCCGCAAGGCCTTGTGTGGAAGGCACAGGCTTTGAGCCTGTTGCCCTGGCCATGAAGGGACGCTACCCCCCCACGTGGCCAGGGTTAATGGCTGTGGCGGTGACCTCCCCACCACACGGGACACAGGTGACTGCACCCACTGCCCCAAAGCCAATCCCCAGCTGCTCCTCGGAGTGGAGGAGATGACAACCCCATCTGTGTTCCCAGCACAGCAACCGAGGCCTGTTCCCCTCTCCCCTCAACTGTCCCGCCCTGACAGTGATCCCGACGCTTCCGAAACACGAAGGTTCACCCTGGGGTCTGGGCCCTAAGCCTCCCCTCCCTCCTCCCCCCCACCAACGTCCCCCAGGGGCTCGGCGTCTGCACCTGGGTCGTGCTGCATGGTCCTGGGGGGCTTGCTGGGGGGATGCCACCGCCGCTGGCTTCCACCAACCAGCCCGCTCCACCTGGGGCCGGGTCCCCTGCTCCCGCACCTGGCCTCTGCGTGCTCCATCTCCACTCCCAGGGCAGGGACTGGGCAACACTGCAGGAGACCCCTCGGGCAGCCCAGGGTGCTGCGGAGTCCCGTGTGGCCTGCGGGGGTCACCCGGGGCTCGGAGGCGGTGGCTCACCGAGATCAGGAAGACCTTCACGCCCTGGTCCTCGGTGTCCATGGCTGTGACGCGGATGCTCTTCTCGCTGGCCTTGTCGATCTGCATCTGGGCCCAGAGCTTGGTGTTGAGGATCAGCCGCAGGCTCCCCTGGGTCCGCATCACTGCAACCAGCAAGGCCGTTCAGCCCGGCCGACCCCGCCCTCCCAAACAGCCTGCTCTGACAACACTCACCACCTGGAGGGAAACCGAACGGCATGGGGAAGAAGCCCATGGTCCTCCCAGACCCCCCCGCTGAGCAAGGTCCACTCCCCACGGGGCCAGCCCTGTGCACGCCGCCCCCCATGCTGGGGGCATGTCTCCCCTAGCCTGGAACCCCCGAAGACCAAAGTGGGTCAGTGGCCGCACACACTAGTGCCACAGACCAGGGGCCTGAGGCCACGTCCAGCTCATGGGGACTGCATTTGGTCCCTACGGGTGGGCACTGGGACTGCAATTCCTGGAAAGGGGGCTCAGATGGCAGCAGGCTAAGCGGAGCCCCTGCCTTCCTGCTGCCCCCGCCCCTACTGGAAAAGCCTGGAGGGGGAAGAAGCCCACCCCAGAGGCTGGGGACAGCTCTCAGTAAGGGCAAGGGCCACAGGCTGATGACCAAAGCGGGGATGACTGGGGGCTCAGGGCTGTGTGCTCTCACTGCCCGCACGTCTCAATGTTTCCATGACGAAAACAGAAAAAGAAAGCGAGAGGACGTCCGTGGGGCGGAAGGACCAAGTCTGGCCTGGAAGGACCATCCTCATCTGCCCTGACCCAGGGAGTGGGACTGAGTTGAGATGGCCGAAAACCACACTTCAAGGGGGGGCCACATGCGCTCCTGAAGGGTCCAAAATCCAGGTTTCTGAAAAGGCTGAGACACTTTGATTTGGGAGGATAAAAAGACTCCAGGAATTCGAGACCAGCTTGGACAATATGGTGAGATCTTGTGTCTACAAAAAAAAAGAGCTGGGTATGGTGGCACATGCCTGTAGTCCCAGCTACTTGGGAGGCTGAGCGGAAGGACTGCCCCAGCCCAGAAGGTCGAGGCGCCAGTGAGTCATGATTATGATCCGGACTCAAAAAACCGAAAAAAACAGTCCGGGCACGGTGGCTCAGACCTATAATCCTAGCACTTTGGGAGGCCGAGGTGAGAGGACTGCCTGAGCCCAGGGGCTGAAGATGAGCCTAGGAAACATGGCGTGACCTCATCTCTACAATAAATCAAAAATTCAGCCGGGCATGGTGGTGCGCTGTAGTTCCAGCTATTTGGAAGGCTGAGGTGGAAGGGTTGCCTAAGCCCAGTAGGTAGAGGCTGTGGTGGCTGTGAGTGTGCCACTGCACTCTAGCCTGGGTGACAGAGTGAGACTCTGAACCACCCCCCAAAAGAAAAGAAAAAGAAAAAGATGGATGTGTATGTTTCCAATGTCCATTCATGTGTGCTCATTTTCTTAGGAGTGTGTGTGGTGGACCGGCTCATTTCTGTAACAAGTGAACTTCTAGGAATAAGATTCCTGTATAAAGATGGCGCTATTAGCCGGGCTCAGTGGCTCAGCCTCCCAAGGGAGGCTGAGCTGAGTGGATTGCCTGAGCCCGCGGGGTCAAGACCCGCCTGGGCAACTT